CGCCGATAATCGCTTATTGAGCGCTTTTTCGGCGCTTTTTTTTAAAAAAAACCGTTTACAATCGCTTTTTTTACGATTATAAACGGTTCAAAAAAAATCGCTTATAATCGACTATAATTGGTGTCATAATTCAAAAAAGCGCTTTTTTGAATTTAAAAGCGCTTATAAGCGCTTTTAAGCGCTTACTAGCGTCGCTGAGCGATTTGAAAGCGGTTTTCCAGTAGGATTGGCGCCAAAAACGGGTGGATAAGCGGTTGGCCGGATAAGCGATTCGTAGGCGCTTTTTTGAACCATTTATAAGCGATTATAAGCGCTTATAATTGGGGTGCAATTTAGCTGTTTGTAAAGCGCAAATAAAGCGCTTATAAGCGCTTTTAAAATTGAGTCAGGAAAACGCTATATTACATCTTATAACCGCTTATAATCGATTATAAGCGTTTTTTTAGAAATCGCTTATAACGGCTAATTCATCGCTATTTCACCGCTTTTACCGCTTTTCCTATCATCCATGGCCAGGTGAGCAGGAATTAAAAAGCGCTTATAAGCGCTTTTTCGATGCTGCCCCTAGCCTGGTCGGAACGGGGTAGTGCCCGGAATTTAAAAGCGCTTATAAGCGATTTCTCAATTCCCCTTAACCTGGTTGGAACTTTCATGTGCTTTTCTGAGCAACCTGGGGTGCACCGGCAGAGTCAGGATTTAAAAGCGCTTATAGGCGCTTATGATCGCTTTTCTACCACTTTTCCTATCACCCATGGCATGGGTTGGCAAGAATTATAAAGCGCTTATAAGCGTTTTTCAATGCTGCCCCTAACCTGTTCGGAACGGGGGTGTGCCCGGAATTAAAAAGCGCTCATAAGCGCTTTTTAAATGCTGCCCCTAACCTGGTCGGAACTGGAAATCAGAGTGCCCGCTTATAAGTGCTTTTCTGAGCAACCTTGGGTGCACCGGCAGAGTCAGGATTTAAAAGCGCTTTTAGGCGCTTATGATTGCTTTTCTACCGCTTTTCCCATCACCCATGGCCTGGTTGGCAAGAATTATAAAGCGCTTATAAGCGTTTTTTCAATGCTGCCCCTAACCTGGTCGGAACGGGGGAGTGCCTGGAATTAATAAGCGCTTATAAGCGATTTCTCAATTCCCCTTAACCTGGTCGGAACTAGAAATCAGAGTGCCCGCTTATAAGTGCTTTTCTGTGCAACCTGGGGTGCACCGGCAGAGTCAGGATTTAGAAGCGCTTATAGGCGCTTATGATCGCTTTTCTACCGCTTTTCCCATTACCTAACCATGTGCTTTCGCGCCACTTCGGGCGCGCTTGTTTCACAAGTACGTCAAGAAGTGAGTGGGCGCGCGCTACTGCAAGCGCAAGGGCTCTGGATAGAGCAAATGGCACCCAGCTAGTGAGGCGAAACTCACTGATCTTTCCAAAAAGGTATGACAAATTTGGTATTGTGAAAATTCTCACAGTCTCTAGAAAACAGTGTTACAAAAAAATTTTAAAATCTGAGCAAGTTTATTTTATCGTCCACCCCTAATCCAGAGCCGTTGAGCTTTGATCTAGCCGCCAACCCTCCATCGATTTTGGCAACCATATATTGGTTCCCAAAATTTCCCGCACTTTGCAGTTTCTGCAGTAGGGGTAATTAGGTATAAACTACAGTACAGCTGTACTTACAATCACATTCACAAGCATGCAAGCTCACCTGGTCCAATGAGCCTAGCGGGAAACAGAAAACGTTTTAATTAGTTTGTTAAACGAAGTGTCGTACGTCACCTTAAGATCGGGTGACAGGGTGCTTACAATTCGCGTTACTGGGCGGCGCTCAGCCTGTCATTCTGCATTCCGCCAAATCTTTATTCGGGCTGAGTGAATTACGACTTTCATCGCCCTAAAAAAGTGCGAATGCTCATTGGACTAGCATTCACGTGATCGTTCAGAACCAATTACAGCCGCGCAAAAGATCACGTGCACGCCAACTACCAATAAAAAAGAAGTGACGTATGCACTACAAGAGCCGCGCGCTGAGTTAGATTGTAAAATCTGATTATTTGATTGTAAAATCGCATAAACACGCCTATTTGCGCGTTTTAGAGGGTTTAATTACGCCAGGCTATGCTTATGAACATACTAGCTTGGGGTCACCTGGTAAAATTCGCGCCACTTGTTTCACAAGTAAAGAAAAGCATCAACTCGCCTTCGTGCGCGCGCCCGCAGTATTCATGTTGCCACGCGCGACGTCAGATTGCAGATATGAGGACAAAATTTTGACACCCAATATAAAATTGCTTAGATCCGTGCCCAGGCTGCAAGCATTTTTTCGCACAAGTACCGCCTCTGTGTCACCGGGAGGTGGGGCGCCACTGCAAGCGTAAAAACCCGGGTACTTAAACATTAAAGCAATCCGATTATTTTAAGAGTCAATGTTAGCGCGCGCCGTATTTGTGCGAAGCGCAATGTTGAACGTGATTGCGAGAATTGACGGGTGACACTCGTAAAATATTTGTTCCATATATTGGAGTCCAACTCGGCTTTTACTAATTCGCTCGCCCAAAAATTTCACGTGACTTTGGTTTTTATGGTTTTGCAGCCGTACAAAACGGTTTTACATAAATCCTAATCCCAACCCTAACCCTAACCATAACCCCGAAGTTAACCATAACCCGTTCCACAAGCCTAACCCTAACCCGGGCCCTAAACAATCGAATTCGTATTTTACTAGCCTAGCCTGTCACGTGACCAAAACGGATTTTTGCCCATAACTCTCCAGGGAAGCATTTTAACCCTACGTCATGGGGGGTGATTCGGAATCAGCGTCCAAAAATACACATATATAGATCATTTTCATGCCCCAAAGGGCCTTTTCACAAGAATTTCCTTAAAATTTGGGCAAGCGATTTAGTAGAAGCGGTAGAAAAGCGATCATAAGCGCCTATAAGCGCTTTTAAATCCTGATTCTGCCGGTGACCCCAGGTTGCACAGAAAAGCACTTATAACTATAAGCGGGCACACTGATTTCCAGTTCTGACCAGGTTAAGGGGAATTGAGAAATCGCTTATAAGCGCAGCATTAAAAAAGCGCTAATGAGCGCTTTTTAATTCCGGGCACTCCCCCGTTCCGACCAGGTTAGTGGCAGCATTGAAAAAGCGCTTATAAGCGCTTTCTAATTCTTGCCAACCAGGCCATGGGTGATAGGAAAAGCGGTAGAAAAGCGATCATATGCGCTTTCAATTCCGGGCACACCCCTGTTCCGAACAGGTTAGGGGCAGCATTGAAAAAACGCTTATAAGCGCTTTATAATTCTTGCCAACCAGGCCATGGGTGATAGAAAAAGCGGTAGAAAAGCGATCATAAGCGCCTATAAGCGCTTTTAAATCCTGACTCTGCCGGTGCACCCCAGGTTGCTCAGAAAATCACATGCAAGTTCCGACCAGGTTAAGGGGAATTGAGAAATCGCTTATAAGCGCTTTTTAATTCCGGGCACTCCCCCGTTCCGACCAGGTTAGTGGCAGCATTGAAAAAGCGCTTATAAGCGCTTTTTAATTCCGGGCACACTCCTGTTCCGAACAGGTTAGGGGCAGCATTGAAAAAACGCTTATAAGCGCTTTATAATTCTTGCCAACCAGGCCATGGGTGATAGAAAAAGCGGTAGAAAAGCGATCATAAGCGCCTATAAGCGCTTTTAAATCCTGACTCTGCCTGTGCACCCCAGGTTGCTCATAAAAGCACATGAAAGTTCCAACCAGGTTAAGGGGAATTGAGAAATCGCTTATAAGCGCTTTTAAATTCCGGGCACTACCCCGTTCCGACCAGGCTAGGGGCAGCATCGAAAAAGCGCTTATAAGCGCTTTTTAATTCCTGCTCACCTGGCCATGGATGATAGGAAAAGCGGTAAAAGCGGTGAAATAGCGATGAATTAGCTGTTATAAGCGATTTCTGAAAAAACGCTTATAATCGATTATAAGCGGTTGTAAGATGTAATATAGCGTTTTCCTGACTCAATTTTAAAAGCGCTTATAAGCGCTTTATTTGCGCTTTACAAACAGCTAAATTGCACCCCAATTATAAGCGCTTATAATCGCTTATAAATGGTTCAAAAAAGCGCCTACGAATCGCTTATCCGGCCAACCGCTTATCCACCCGTTTTTGGCGCTAATCCTACTGGAAAACCGCTTTCAAATCGCTCAGCGACGCTAGTAAGCGCTTAAAAGCGCTTATAAGCGCTTTTAAATTCAAAAAAGCGCTTTTTTGAATTATGACACCAATTATAGTCGATTATAAGCGATTTTTTTTTAACCGTTTATAATCGTAAAAAAAGCGATTGTAAACGGTTTTTTTTTAAAAAAGCGCCGAAAAAGCGCTCAATAAGCGATTATCGGCGACGATCATAAAATATCGTTTATGGAAACTTGCCTATATTTATTGATTATGTATTGAATTGGTGATAAATAATAAAATTGTCTTTTCTCAAAAAAAATTGTCTTTTCTCAATAGTGCACCACTTTTGAGGGTTATAGCACGATTTTGATTGTATTTTTGATAGTGAAATTTACTTTTTAAATCACTTGTTTTGTGAAATGACAAGCTATATCATTTACAGAAAACCTCGATTCTTTCTTGCCCTGATTTTTAGCGTAATGACTTATATGCAAATTTCGGCATTTAGGGGTCGTTCACATATAATATTACGTAATCAGCCGAGGGGGGGGGGGGGGGGGGGGGGGGGAGGTCGTTGTAATGGTCAGGCCATGATTACGTAATATTGCTGTCAGGAGGGGGGGGGGGGGGGGTTGGGTCTTTATTACGATTAGTTACGGAGGGGGGGGGGGGGGGGGGTAAAAATTGCTAAAATATTGATTACGTAATATTATGTGAACGACCCCTTATCACAGTCTTGCGGTAATTATCATACTTTACAGTGAATATAAAACTAGTTTTTTTCAAATTATTTCCTCGAATTTTTGTTCTTATGAAATGACGTAAGTCTAAATCCACCTGCTTCTTTTATAGTATTTAAAAGCAATGGCTCCACAAATCAGGGTACCTGCCAACTTCGGAATAGAGCATATTAATTCTGAAGTACATGGGAATCTGTTACTAAAACTAAAAGATGGACAAGAGATAAAAACCAACTCTATGATAATGTCATTGAATAGTCCTGTTATAGACAACCTCACTACCAATATGTTTCAGGTATTTATTTTGACTTGGTATCTGTTGGGAAATAGAGTTCTGGTACAAGAATATTTTATGATATTTTATTGGAGCCTTCTTTTATTAATTTTAGAAATCTTTAATTTTCTATTCATCTAATATTTTGCCAATTTTTGAATTCTATTTCAGTCATGAATTTTAATTAAAAGCTCGGTGTAAGGTGCTGTTAAAATAAGTGCAGAAAATTCAATTCGTCTGATAATAATATTATAACTGAACATTTCAGTCCACCCTGGAGATGGACGATTTTACGAAGCCAGCAGTTGACTGCTTCGTTGAAGCAATGTACAGTGGTGAAGTTGATAAACTGAAAAAGGGCATCTTTGAAGATGTAAACAAGATGGCACATGTATTCGATGTGTCCTGGTTGACTAAGAGATGCATTAGGTTTTACAAGACAGATGTTCTACAGTTTGAGAACAACTCCTACGATGAGATCTTGTTTGCGTGCGAGATTGCTAGCAGGGCTCATTATATCCTGAAGCAAAGTTATTATGTACGATTGTTTGTGAGAAATATTGCCTCCAGAGAAATAAGTAAGACAATATTCCTGCAAAGATACAGGTGGCAGACTTTGCTGAGCTCTCCAAACGGCAGATTGACATGTCACTTGCAGTGGCAGGAAATGATTGTAACCTAATCATGATCACACTTGTATCTCATGTCACCAAGACTTTAAAGTGCAAAGATCTTGACGAAAATTCTATTTATGTCTTGCAGCATTTTAATGTCGAGAAATTTCGCCAGAATTTCCCTATCGACTTCAATGCGATGACTAGTTTACTGACCGAAGTCGCTGATGTGTCAGAATCCAGAGAAGTAAAAGGGATTGTAAAGAATGTTGTTGAAACGAGTTGTGGCCATGCATCTAGTAGTTCTACTGATGATGTGAAAGACGGTGAAACGGATTGTGATGAAAGTGATTTTGAGGAAAATGCTGAAGTTGGTAGTCAGACTGATTGCAATGAAGTTGAACACGGTTAGTAAATCTGTTTCTGTTATTTTCACAGGTATGTTCCAAGTTAGATTAAGTCACCTGTGGCTAGTCATAGTGCCCATTATAGTTAATAAGGAACTGATTATAATAGGTAAGGCGAGAATATGGCTTTGTGTCAATCTTTGAACTTTTAAGTAGGTGGCACACACGTTAAAACCTCATGACATTATTACTGTGTTAGCCATTAGATAGTTACAATATTAAGTCGATTTGAAGTGATCCATTTCCAGGTTGGAGTGAGGCTGTACATCCCAAAAACTACTCGTTTTTAGACGGAGAGTCAGTACAGCTTATAACAGCAGATAACGTGCCGGAGGGGGATATTCGTTTTCTTTATACTCTACCCGGACAAAGAGGGTCCGAACAAAAAATGTTTGGGGTGAGATGTGAAAATGTAGAACTCAGCCGATGGAGTTATTTTATTAGCGGATGTAATGAGGGGAATTGGAACAAACAATTCCTGAACAATGTCCCACCTGATAAAGTTAAAAACTGGATTATAACCAAAACTTCTATACACCTAAAGGTAGTGTGTAACAGAGTGACTGTCCTCAATTTCAACTTTGCTGTGGACTGTGATTCAGCTAAAAAATATGGTGAAAAATTATGGTCATTGAAGGCTATGTCGTTTAATTTCTTCATACATTCTGAATATCTCACTTCAAAGCAACTGATAGTGAGGAATATAACTTGTTAGTCGGTTTTCACACTACCAATTCATCGTTCATCTTGCCTGTGTTTCTTGAAAGATTGAGTTACCTTAATATTCTCTTGCATATTGTTGAGTACTGTGCATAATAATAACATAATCTACATTTAGGTCCACTTTATATTACTGCTTCGTAGACTTAGATGCTGGTGAACTATTTTTTACATCTTCGGAACTAATTTATAAAGTAACTTTACTTTAAGGTTTTAACAAATATTTGTCGTTTTTGTCGACTAATATGTTTTGTAAACTATGTTGCATCTATACCTCTTTCATGTTTTGTTAATTCTACATATGTTTTCGAAGTGTTTGAGATGCAATATTATGACGATCTTTTTATATAAAAACAATTTTCATATACCTAATATAAAATCTACCCTTATTCTAATTTACAAACATGATCTGTCTTTCTGAGAATAGAAACCCAGATATGGATTTCTGATTCGAATTGAAACGAATTTGTCTATTGCCAGGCTTCTATGTGAATCATCCGATAACAATTACACCCCTACTTCCTTCAGCGCCTCTTGAAGAAGTATACTTTTTAGTTTAAAGACTTATTGCAAATTAAAGGGCGATATAAAATTGCGACTGATTTACCTGTGAAGAAATGACAACAGAACCTGAATAATTTGACAAAGTTAAGCATTGGATTATAAATAAAACTTCTGCATACTTGAAAATAGTATGTAACGGAGTGACCGTTCTCAATTTTAACTTTGGAACTGACTGTGATTCGGATAAAAGAAATGGCGTAGAAATATGGTCAAGAAAAGGAGTGGGCGACAATTGACCCCCCGACAATTGACCCCCCGACAATTGACCCCCCGACAATTGACCCCCCGACAATTGACCACCCGACAATTGTATATAATATAATGACTTTAATATATAAAACAAATTTTACTTCCTTTCATGTGAATTATTTACTATGAGAATTGAAAATAAGTTCAATGTGGACAATTATAATTGACTTTCCATCATCGTGTCATCATTATTTCAATTCAATCAAATTCAATTTATCACATGAGAAAATAAATTTTACTTACATTGAATGACTTCAAGCAATGAAAAGGTTGTTGATTGTAACGATATTAGTGTGCTTCCTTCAAAAGTCACATGCTGACTACTACACAACACTTGGTGTGAAACGAGATGCCACAACGAAGGAGATCAGATCTGCGTTCAAGAAATTAGCGCTATCCAGTCATCCTGACAAAAACAAGGTAATTCTACCAAGAACAAGGTAATTCTACCAGGAACAAGGTAATTCTACCAGGAACAAGGTAATTCTACCAGGATCTGATTATAACGTTCACTGTACAGGATGTTCTAAGACTTGTGTCCAAACTTTTAATGGCTCTCAAAATTTAACAAATGGGACAAACAGTTGTATATTTCAAATACAACATTAATTATACACATCAGATTGTTAATATTTCATTTGCATCCTAAAGTTGACTAACTATGCATTGAAACAACAGTGATCCGGTCAGTCGATAACATTTTTTTTTCTCTGATTCCTAAGTTGCACATCGTGATGTTGCTTTACAGTAATGTAACAATGAACTTTATTTAGTGCAATTTAACAATGATCACATTTCAAATAGCCTAAATAAGGTCAAAATAGCACTAAGAAATTGTCGTAACAAAAGAACAGACCTATTATACCATCTGGTTTCAAATTGCAAGATGATGGCGTCCTCATGCTGTATCACTATTGAGAAAGAGCCAGTAAATCAAATACCTAGCAGAGAACATAAAATAATCACACCTTGAAAATAAGCTGGATTTATTATGAATCTATTAATTTAAGATTTGATAAAGCAGAGTGTACTAACACAACGTTTTTTCTCAGAATGATCCAGAATCTGAAACTAAGTTCATGGCTATCAATGAAGCCTATGAAGTGTTAAAAGGTAACGTTTTTGTGTCACATTTTTCACATTGTCTTATGTATGTTTGTCGTCTATACGACCGCCCACGTGCAAATTATATGACAAATAGGAAGTTAGGTAAAAAACAAAAGGTTACATAGCCACGGTGTTGTAGTGCACACGTTGTTGTAGTGCACATGTGTTGTAATGCACACGTGCACGTGCAAAGATTGCTGGAAGGACATTTTGATCGGTTTTGTGGCAATTACGTTGTGTTTAAAGTGTTTTACATTTAAATCGGTTGTATCTTGAACATTTTTTGATGCAAATAAAACTTTCTTTCAAAGAACACTACTAGCTTCATCCCTGTTACCGCGAGCTTTCTAGTAATATTATGATAAGTGAAGTGGTCTATGATCAGAGCTTGCAATAATCGGAAATTTAGCGTCTAGTCCGCCACAACAAAAAACGGGCAGAATTCTTGTTACTTTGTTAGTGTTGTATTAGTTTTACAGTTGTATGATTTTCTTAAAAAGTTTTTTGTGGTATGTTCATATAAGATAATGAACTAATTTTTGTAATAACCTTTTTTTGTTCTAATTTTTGAATTTTAAGTTAATTGAATTAAAAGTAAATAATTATTTACATATTTTGTTATTAGACTTAACACCTTTTGGTCTACAAAGGAATAAAATACTTAAAATTTTCTTGAAAATGAAACTTAATTTTAACGCTACGTACACGTGTATAAAATGTCAAATTGTACAAATAGCTATCTGACAACAACTGAACTATAGTGGAACGATTTAGAATTGGCAGTTGAGATCTCTGGTAGTGATGATAATAACAAAGAATCTCAGGTATTTCCACTCGAAACGCTAAGAATCTCGAGTATACTATATATTAAACGTATTTTTACCGTAAAATCGATTAAAAGTGGTTCGGAAATGATTGGATTGATTTTCGTGAATATTTTTATTGGCTGAACTCAATTTTTAAAAACTGCCAATTCTAAATTGGTGCACTTTAATAATTTCCAGTCAGTCAGTGGGTCCACACACAAAGCTTGGGATTAGAATCAGGAACAGGCAAACAGTAATCAATGTCCTCGCATCCCGGTGGAGCCCAATTTTGTACTGCAACATCGCAATAGTTTAGGGACGGCACTCCTGGTACCAAGTTTGCCTTGTGCTCTTTAACGATGGGGTTGATGATTGCCATGGCAGCTTTGTATTCTTTGCTTTTGATTGCGATAATATACTTTTCTCCTGGATCCCTATTAACATTGAAGAGAACTGGAGCATCAGAGTGATCCACTTGGTCATGCACAGTTACATTTTTTATGTATTGTCCTTGACAAAAAGTAAAGGAAACTGGATCATTCCCGAACTCAGTCCACATCCAATAGTGTGCCTTGTAAGCGCCCACCCTCACTGCCATCATCTCGTTACCTCTGTAATACCATATAGGCCTGTCTATCACTGGGGCTGACTGGTCCAGTAGAACTGGACACAGGTCTATGCCGTCAATAATTCTGTCTTGAGGCGGTTTTACCCCTGCCAAAGTTAGACTGGTAGTAAAAAGGTCCATGATGTTTCCGAGCTGATGAGTAATGGTTCCAGCAGGGATTGAACCAGGCCACCAAGCTATCCCTGGTTCTCTCATCCCTCCCTCATATGTTGTCTCTTTTCCACACAAGAAAGGACCATTGTCTCCTCCATCTCGCCTCCTGTATGTAGCTGCCCCGTTATCCGACGTAAAGAACACAAATGTCTCCTTTTCTATATTAAGCTCTCTTAGCTTCTTCAAGATTTGGCCGACACAGTAGTCCATCTCCATGACCGCGTCACCATATCGCCCCCGAATACTCTTACCGTGGAACATGGGACTTGAGTAGTTCGGGTCGTGTGTAGCATCAGGGGTCCAGTAAAGGAAGAATGGATTCTTGGCGACACTCTGTGATTCTATAAAGGATAGTCCTTCCTCTAGGAATAGCTGACTCATGTTGGATTGTCCCGTTGCTTTGTTAATAGTGAAGTTGGTGTAGTATCTTCCAACCATTCTGTCGTCTTTGTACACTGGCATGTTGGGTGTTTTAACATCGTTAAATGGTCCAAAATGGCAATTTCCTGAGCCAAAGAACTCATCAAACCCTCTATTACATGGTAGGAACTGTCTCCTTTGTCCAAGATGCCATTTTCCAATTATTTTACTTTTGTAGTCAGCCTCTTTCAAGAGTTTAGGGAGGAGCTGCTCGTATTCGTGAATACCACCGACAATGGTCTGAGGAGTGTAAGCGTTCCTAGCATGAGCGTTCGTTGAGTAGAATCCATTTCTAATAGGTAGTCTCCCCGTCATCAGAGCTGCTCTTGAGGGGGAACAGAGCGGGTTAGCTGTGTAAAAGTCCGTGAACAACATACCTTCTGCTGCCATCTTGTCGATAAAAGGGGTTTCCTTAGCCCAGTTTCCATTGATCCCCACGTCACCCCAACCCATATCATCCATCAGCATTATTATGATGTTTGGACGATCAACCAGGCAGTGCGAAACTGTCAGGCATAGAACCATGCATGACAGTCGTGTTAACATTTTACTAAGGGGAGAAAATTGAGCTATAATAATATTAAAGAAACTAACGTAAATATTGCGCAGCCAAGTGCCTTGAGGGCGAAAATAAGAATCCAGCAATGGTTAAGACTAAAGAGAGTGTTTTCATTCAGGATTCACCGAAATAAACGATCAGAAAACTAGAAACCCTCATGAACACTACATACTACGTTCATTGCATTGAATCAATTATCAACTGTGTCAAAAGATGCTTTGTAATGACGTATAAATAAACTACTAGATGGAAGCGTTAAAACAAGAACGAAAAGAATGTTGTGAAGAATGTTGTGATACAAAGTTGCTTTGTACCTGAAAGGTACAAAGCAACATTGTATCACATGTTTAGATGTTATTCGATACGGTACCTCCTTATCAATAAAGCAGTGATTAGCTTCTTATACTAAGCAAGTAACATGACACACATACCTTATCAGGCGTTATTTGACCGGACATTGCGTGAACGAACATAATTTTGAACGGACATTAAAATGAACGCTTGAAGGGCGAAGGCATTCAGTTAATGAATTTAATTTAACTAACTTGATCGACTTTATTTTAACGGACACATCTTACTATATATACACCACGGCAGATATAAACCAAAACTAAACAGAACTGTAGAATGATGTTTAGTTGCACTCAAATTATGGTTATGATATCATCCTCCTTCTACTTCTTCTTCTTTATAGTGATGTGTCAGTTTGACGGCCCCAACGTTAATGTGGCTCTTGCTATGTGTTGGTTCAGCCGAATTAATTATTATATAATCAAGTTTATTTTTCTCGTTAGTTGTCATCCGGCCAAACATTAAGCAACTTATATTGCAGTACCATTTACCATTTAGTATATCAAAATATGTCATTGTAATTTTGCATGGCTGAAATGTAACGCTTGATTTATATATATAATGATTAATTGAATTTTCAAATAAAAAAAAAAAATGTGGCCATTATATTCTATTCTAACTTTGTGCACATATTAAAATGGAATATGTAGAATGTAAATATTATAGTGAAACAAAGGGAAACCACTATGTGTGAACCTCATACCAGGAGGTGTGATCAATGAAACTATATGTAAAGCGAGACGATATATTATATATATATAATATATCTGTTACCATTTTACTGACATCAAGACATTAAATTTAATACGACTTTCCGTAAAAACCGTAAAAGATGTACCTCAAACCTTTTTGACTGGTTCAAATGCTTGACCTTCAAATCAGCATGAAAAAATAAAAAATTTGCCCAGGAATAAGAATTTTAGTGCCCAAAATTTGGACCCCAAGATGGTGTCAAAAACGCGAATTTGGTTCTAAAAAGAATTGTAAGAAACATAATTTCCAAATTTGATACAGTAAATACGTTTTCGTAATAAAATAACTCTACACAGACGAAGGAACAAGAAGAAAATATGATTTGTACGGAGAAGAAGGTTTGAAGGAGGACAACAAGCGACAGCAACAAAGAGAGAGACACAGTTATCAGTACTACGAGGACTTTGGTTAGTTCAACTTTAACGGATTGTAAAGCTGTTGTAACCTACACCTTGTTGTTATTATACAGCACATATTATAATATATAGCTATATATGGCACATTTCATCAGATTGGACCATTCTTTTGAGTTATTCTTTTTTGATCAGCCTATTCGCAATAATATTATAGTTCAAAGATTAAATTGTCTTGTGATTATGTAATATGAAGCACAGTCGCTATGTATGTTGTATGTATGTATTCACCATTTGAATTTTGCAGATATATACGGTGACGATACGGAGATAATAACGTTGAGTTCAGGCGACTTTGCCACCTCGGTCGATAACCGGGGGGAGAATGTGTGGTTTATTAACTTTTACTCTCCCCGCTGCTCCCACTGCCACGAGCTGGCCCCTGCTGTGAGTACCACTTTTGAGTGGGTTTTAAGAGGATTCTTGTTCAATATATTGTCCCTTTAGTTTCATCTACTGTTCAGTGTTCAGTGTCTTGAATTTGAGATAAATTATATGTTATATCAGATTGGATTGAGTTCTCTTGAGTTCTCTCAAGTTCAAAACAACCAATGACCGCTGCTGACAGAGAAGAAAATTTTATGAATATAGAAATTATATAGCATGAATATTTCTTTTCATTTTTACTTTTTTTCCCTCTTTTGGTACCAGATGTTCATAATTTGTGCCCAGTGCTCAAAATCAATGACAAAATTGCAATTAAGATGCCAAGTTCTGATAAATACGTGCAGGTGTGGTCAACTTCTAGAGAACTACCACTGGCTGGTATTTAGGTACTGTTATCTTTTTGTTGCTCTGTAATACTGCGCTATCCATAAAGCACACGGCGACACGGTGACTTAGTCTAGCTATGAAATATAATATAAGGTCACCATTAGTTATTCATGTTAAATACCCTTACTTATTGTGAGTGAATAGATAACTGCCCCATTTCTTCGTAATGGTATCCCACCTGGGCTTCTTTTTTCACGTTTTCTCATCTATAAAAAACATAAAATATTGATGTGCTCCGCTTTGGTATTTGAAACAAGTAGTCGGCTGTTATTAACACAAATCTATTTATAGATTTAAACATTGATAACTGATTTATAAATCAGTTATCAATGTTTAAATTGTGTGGTTGTGATAAATGATGTCTGATGAAGTAATGGGCATTGAGCAGATCATTATCATAGTAATCCTTTAGCTTTGCATCTAAGGAAGTAAACGTGCGAGGAGATCATTAAGACTTACGATATCGGAAATGGAACTTTATGCAATATCTGCCATCGAGCACAGATTACGTAGATTTATTGGTAATTTAGCAAATTTATTGGTGCTCACGAGTTTATTTTAGAGGATGTGTAGCTAAATAAGCGACGTTGCTGATATTCTAAATGTCTGTGCTATTCTGTGTTTATATTTTAAAAAGTGTTAAAAACAGAATACAATTATTTTCCATATGTTGGCCCTTTATTATATATGAGTATTAATCGCACATTCTTCATTTTATCAGCACAGCTTACGTATGTGATATTTATGATGCTCTACACCGATCCCGAATAACGAAGCCATACAACTCTGCCTGAAGATTATATATTTCACATATAAGTCGCAATAACTCCGGCTGTATATTTTGCATCTCATTTCATTTGGGTGAGATGAGTGACGGTAATTCTCATGTCCCGATAATACCTTGGTGACAACACACAGCATCACAGTGTATTTACCACGCACTCACACAGTCTTCTCTTTGTTCGTCAGTCATTGTACAGTGCTGACGTAAACTTAATTTTGACATTGCATTTTTGTGTTTTTTGTTGTTGTTTTAAATCTTGATATTTGAGGGCATGAGGAGATATTAAAGATTTTTAGGCTGAGCTATTTCTGTGAGTAGATAACACACTTAAATAAATAGCTGAGTAGATGATATATTCAGAGGAAAAGCTGAAACTGGGGATACAGTTGATATCTGATACTATTTACTAACCTGTTTACAATACGTTTTATTTCTGTTTTACTTAATAAATATCTGTTTTCTGATAGTGATATATATATATAACGGTAACACGTGAAACCATCTTTAGTTAACTTACTAGTGGTAACTACCTTTACTCTATAAGGTTGGAATGCTACCACATTTAAAATGTTCTTATTATCGATTATGGCAGAAATAATCATTTTTAGCGTTTTTAAATAAAAGGAGATTATCAAAATTATTGGCGATTTTTTGTTTTGAGATATCGATTATTATAATCGAATATTTTCAGACCTCTCAAAATTGATGCGTAAGCCATTATGCATGGTGCATCCTTTAGTAAAGCGCCTCAGTCAGCTATTATATTCGAAAATAAGAAGATTTAATTTCAATTGTTGTTACTAAATTCACGTCTCGTTAGTTTCGGTTATACATCGACGGGCATGAACACAGTTTATAGTCGGACTGTAAGTTTTTTCTTATTGTGTCCACATGGCTTTTAATATTATAATTGATAAAAACCCACAATCAAGGATTAATTTCAATTTTCCGGCAATTTTCCCGCAGCCTCAAATTTCCTCTTTTTAATACCCGGTTCCGGCCAGGCAAAATCCGGCAAACCGGAAAATAGATTGATATCCGGTCGTTTCCGGTCCGGAAGCCAAATCCTAGACCGGTCGGTTCCTAGTTCTGACGCAAAAAAACTGTCCATGTGTGGTGACAATATTATTTGTGGGGTTTATGTCGTTTTACTAGTTAGCACAAGTACCTATCCTTCTGTGGTTTAGCTTTCAAGTTTTAAGTTTCCTCTATATGACAGATCTTTAGTACTTTACCCGGAGACCGTTATCTTTTTGCAGGCGGATCATGTAAAGAGTAATATTCATGGTAAAGAGTAATATTCATTTTTAAACCCTTGCTCTGAGCTGTCAAGTCGTTAGGGAGCTAGCATTAGTGAAGAGTGGATAGTTTTGTAAATAATTTGTTGGTTAGAATATTTTGTAACTTTTGACTGTGTTTTATACTCAAATACTAGTGCGGATACACTTTTATTGTTTTATCGACCAAAGCAATAATATCTTGTTGCTATTTTTCATCGGAGTTATTCGTTTAGTGAGGTGTTTACTGCAGCAGTACTACTCTGGTGTCATCTCCCTGGCTTGTGAGCACTCTGCTAGTCTGGCAGATCTATAACCAATATAACCACTGACCGGTGCCCAGTGGCAGTAAACAGTTACCGGTGTTATTGGTCTAGTGTCTAGTGTCTAGTTATTGGTCCAGTGTCCAGTAGTCTCCCGTTACCGATATACTGACATCTGTACTAACGTCCAGTGAAAAGCCAGCCTTATGACACATTAGCGCATTAGAGTCGTAGAGAAGTGCTTCACTTCACTACAATTGTAGCGGTAATCATCGTAACCTTTATCAGTAGAAATTATTGCTACAGTTGTAGTTTATAGTTTGTTTAAATATAGCACAAGGGCGGAGGAAACAAAGGCGGTAGACACGAGGGCGGATGACACAATTGCGGAGGACACGAGGGCGTAGGACACAAGGGCGGAGGACACGAGGGCGCAAAAACCCGTTTGTCCATGTTTTTAAAGTGATTCATGTGATTCGCCTTCGTGTCCATCTTTTTAAGAAAGTACCGCCCTAGTGTCCTATACAAATATGCCAGTAGTAACTGAAAATTGGTCAGACTGCATGTAGTTAATATTTTGACACCTGTGAAACCAGCCTAATCTGAGTAATCATTAGGCAGATTCATAGATACAATGAACTTGTACCTGACGTTAATGTTGATATAGCGCAGCTCTGCTTTATACATAGCCCGAGCATGAGGCAACTTTCTTTGTTTATTACGAAGGGAAAAAACCGATATGAGACTAATAAACGGAAACTAGTGCTGAGTATTGGTGAACAAAGACAATCTTATGCGCACGGATATTAACCATATTCATGTTCTTTCCCACCTTTTGTTGATAATAAAAGCAAGAAACCCATGCTTTAACGGAATAATGATCCTTTATTTAGTGCCTTGTTAAAATCTTGTATTTTTATCTATAAAGAGTATGTTAAACTCAGTCCTTATCCTCGATATCAGTTACGCGGGTATCTTGCTCATTTGCTCAGGAGCTAACGACCCATAATAGTGTACGCAATATTTTACTTTTAGTAATGCACGGTTTAAGCTTTAACAGAGCTGTGTTTAACGTGATCCTGCTGCCACCAATTTGGGAAAGTTCTGCCGTGCCGTACTTTAATGTTATGTTTTCTAGGAATACTCCTTCAAGTCATGTCATTGTTGCATACTCACTTTAACGAATCTACAGTTATTACGTCTTGCAATACAGGGTCCCAGGGACCACAGCGATACTGAGGACTTTAGTGATAAGTCACAATATGTCAATATCGTACTAAAAGGAGAGAGATGATATCTACCATCCAGTAACTCCATTTCTCCTAAACGACCAGGACAGGACCAGTTAGATGGCAATATTTGCTTATTTATTAGTGATGTTACTCGCTTATTCCTTTGTGTTATGAGCTAATTTCTCTCATCTCCACGTCTGTATGTTTACAGCGCTGCAAAGGGACGTACTGTTGAGTCTTGATGTTCATATCGTATAGTGCGTATTGTCGACCGGGTGGTGTAGTGGTAACACGATCGCCTCCCAAGCAGAAGGCCCGGTTCAAATCCGGTCGGATGCAAGTCGGCCAGTTACCAAGCTGTGATTTGGTACAGCTTCGGCTGGTGATACACACCCTCTGGCTCGTAGGACTAACCCCCCTACAGCTAGTATAGTGCCTCGGCACAGAGTGGCTTAGGGTTACTGAAAAGGAGATAAGCACCTCCGGCCATCCCAACGTTCGGGAGAGACCTGTTTCTTGACCCTTGTATCTTGTATAGTGCGTATTCTTTAGGTTGGAATTCGCGAATGCATCGATTACTCTTTATTATGAATCTTGCAAGATACATACATTAAAATTCGAGCGTCAAATTAATTGAAATTTGTATGTATCAATCTTTTAAAAATTAAGCATTGGATAAACCTTCGTAACATTGCTCATTTAAGAAATGTTTAGTTCTAAAGTTACAAAAGTAGTAGCTATTGAAAGTTCACAAAATTTGACCAAAATGATTTTGTATCTGACAGCAAATACTTTTGCTTATTATAATTTTACGAAAATCATTTAATAACCTTGTTTGGGGACACCCTGTATTTACAAGCTTTCTTTAAGAATAGAAGTTTCAGTACCTCAGTCGCCAATTTCGGTCAAGGGGACGGCAGAAAAGCTCCTCTTCAAAAATCTTCCAAAATCTCTTTTTATATTGTGATGATTTTCCGTTTATTAAAGCTTTCTTTGGGAATAGAAGATTGAGTACCTCGATCTTGTCTTGTGCTATCCTCAGTGACCTTGTAAGATG